CTACGGCTCTGGAGGTGGCGGCGGCTACGGCTCTGGAGGTGGCGGCAACTACGGCTCTGGAGGTGGCGGCGGCTACGGCTCCGGTAGCAGCAGTGGGGGCCACAGAGGCGGCTCTGGAGGGGGCAGCTGGGGTTCTGGAGGGAGCTCCGGAGGCCGGGGATCCAGCTCTGGGGGTACCAAAACCTCTAGTGGCAGTTCCAGCGTGAAGTTTGCTTCCACCAGCTATTCCAGAGCAGTCAGATAAAGAGGTGTCCTCCATCCTGTTAGCGCTCCCTCACCATCACTACCAAATATGCTTGGCAAGACCAAGGTCAGTTGCCCCAGCCTCCTGGAGAAAAGAGCTTTCATTAGTTACACCAGTTCACCCCAGTTCCCCAGCTCTTTCCTATCTTCTCTGCTTCCCAAAGAAGCTTTTAGATCAGTGGCACTCTCAGTCCCTCTGGCTATGACCCTGCTTTGTGCTTTACCCAAGAAATTGTTCAGCAATGACCACTACACACATTACATTTCAAAGCATCTCCTTAAGTCAGCCAGATGAAGGCTGGTTAGAACCACAGCTTCTTTGCTGTGCATGGAGGACATGCTCTGGACACTCCTTAATATCCTCTTTCTTGGAGCAAGCTCTGTGCTGCTTTGATTTTGTATATAAGGTGTGAGCAAGTTGATTGTCTTTTGTGGAGAGGTCTTAAACTGCCCCCTTCCTTGTATTGCTGCAATAAACTGCATTTTGAAATTCTCTCTGAGTCTCAATCTGCGTTGTTCATGGCACTCTCTGTCCTGCGTGGGTGCTTTGTGGGAGGGAAAGAAGACCTTGGAGCCATGTGGCATATGGGGGAGTTGGGACACATGAAAATGATGGGCAAGATGGGGACCTTGGTCAGGCACCATTCATCTTTAAACGTTTAATAGTTAAATACAACACACTCTTTCCCAGAGTGTGCAGATATCATGGAGAAATGGAGAGACTGGAGTATTCATCCGAGAAACTTTTATTCGTCTGAGAAGTCTTTCTTGGAAAGGGCAGTGAGCAAGGAGTTTGGGAAGGAGGAGTTTGGTATTGAGAAGAAAGCAAAGTATGGTGTGGAAAAGTAATTGGTCATGTGGAACAGTCAGTGATAAGGGCATGGGTACTGCAGGTGCTACAGCCAGAATACAGACTTTGGCTTGGGAGTTCAAGAACCAAGAGTGGTAATGTATCCATTTCCCCTCTTTCAGGCCCCTACCCAAGGCTCTGTTCAATCTAAGAAGTTCAGTTGTGCACATATAGCTTGTACTTGTGAAGTAGTTCAACGGGAAAGCATAGTGATCAGAAGCATGGGCATTTGAACTCAGATATGCTTGGGTTTGGATCTTACTACCCTATTTACTAGCTCTGTGATAATGTGCAAGTTACAGACCTCTCTGTACCTCAGTTTTATTATCTCTAAATTGGGGATAACATGCCTTCCTTGTGGGAATTATTGTAAGGATTAGCACTGGTATTTTTGATATTGCCATTTTTGATAGTAATGCTGCTGCTGATCTGGCTATTGTAACATTGCTTGTTGGTCTCTAGACAGCTCAGTAGATGCTTGCTCTAAAGACCAATGAGCATCAGCTTCCAAGGGGTTCTATGACCATGAAAAGGTTAGTCAACTTTCCTGAAGATTAATTTTCATAACTTTCAATTAGGAAAAGTCTTCCTAGCTCTAGTGTCAACCAGAACTGAAGGGAATAAAGAGAGTATAGATCAACAAGAGTATAAGGTACATACAACTTGGTGAGCTATATCTCTCCTCTCCAATCCTGTCTGGACTGATGTGAAAAAGAACAAACTTCAACTCAGAGAAACTGGGTTTAAGCTACTGTGGTATTTAAGGGGCTGGCTAAGGAAAATAATCCACAGCTCACTGGATGTGTGGATCCTTGGACAAATCAGTTGGCCTTTCTGAGCTTCACTTGTCTTGTAGATAAAATGGGGATGAGACTATTTGCCTCTGGACATCAAGAGGATAAAATACATAATGTGAAATGCTTTGTGAATTGTGAATAAGTTATACAGAAGTAGTTGCATGAAATTAAAAGGGAGTGACAAAGAAGTAGAAGACAGCTGGCTGTCGAGGGCACTGAGGAAGGAAGTGCCTTGGCATGGTCACTGTAGCCCAGAGACAACTCTGTAGTGATGTAGAATTGATTTTGGTAGTGCATCCAATTTGAATCTGCTCCTAAGGACTAATATTTGTGAACTAAACACATAAGTGATGGATGTGTGAACCATAATGCCCATGTATTAGTTCATGACATATTCAGTGACTGAAATACCAGAGCTCCCCATCCTGTTATCAAGATACCTGACTAAACTGAGTTAGTCAGAATAGGTGGCGTGGTGATTGTTGATTTAGAACAATGGGAGTTTAGTGGCCTTGAGGGAGATGGTTTGCTTTCCTCCACGGGAGAGAAGACTTCTGGGGCCACTAGATACAACACCTGGGATACTACTGAGTGAATGAACCAATGAGAGTGTTCTAGTACTCTGGCACACATTTTCTAACTTCTTTCTTGCGTTACAACTTTCTTTAGTTATGGTTTACATTGGAGATACCCTTGTTCATCTTGTTTGGACTTGGGTTTTCTTGGTAAGGTCAGACAGAAAACAAAGACCCTGTAATTTACAGTGAAACTTATCAAAACCTGTCAGGTCACAGGACTAAATGAAAACCATGTGTAGGTCAGTATATAATTAGTTGAAGAACTAAATTGACTAATATGAAGTGCATTAGTACTAGAGAGACAGCGAGGAAAAATCTGGGATTCCATTCAGTTCGACAAACAGTTCCTGCACACGTACTATGTGTCAGGGACAAGTCCACATGTTCAGGGATACTATGATAAGCAAGACATGGCTCTTGCTGTCAAAGAGCTCAGAGGCTTGGGTGATGGGGTGTAGGCAAATGTGCTGTTACAATGCACCCAACCCAGGCGATGATAAACACACACATAAGGTGTAGAAATGATACATACAAAAGGGGTGCATGCAGGGTTTTAGAGGATAAACAGGAATTTGTTGGGCAGACAAGGCAGAGAAGGACACTCCGGACAGAAGGAATAATATGGGTAAAGACATGAAAGAACGAAATTACATGAAGTGTTTGATCATCTGAAGGAGCATGAAGTTAGTGACAAGAAATAAGGGTGAACAATGTTTATAGTAGCAATGTCCACAATAGCCAAACTACGGAAAGAGCCAAGATGTCCATTGACAGATGAATGCATAAAGAAGATGTGATATATATATATATACACACACACACACACACACACACACACACACACACACAATGGAATATTATGCAGCCATCAAAAAGCCCCAAAATCTTGCCATTTGTAATGACGTGGATGGAACTAGAGGGTATTATGCTGAGCGAAATAAGTCAATCAGAGAAAGACAAGTATTATATGATCTCACTGATATGAGGAATTCTTAATCT